TATTAACTGGGCATGCCCATTATGGAGTGACTCAACATTACAAGGCCATCCCGCACTAGTGTCTGGAGATATGAAAAACGGGAAAACAAGCCCAGAGCACCAGCCATCAGTGCACATGCATACTAATGCCTAGCCAGCAGGATTTCACTCTGATGAAGGAGTCTCCAGCTACCACACTGCACTGCCTAAAGATCTATGCTGAACAAGGGACAAAGAACTGTTCCCTCTAAGCTGTGGAGTCCTGTGCGCAAAAATTCTACTTTGCGACCTACTGGCATTAAAGTTGTGAGTGAGCGATTTGGCTACTGTGTAATGTATTAAAAGAGCTTACTTGAATCGCCGCATTAACCCCCTATGTTAAGCTTGAGCTAGAAGAAGGCTCCTCCAAGCTCATGTGCTATTGGTCGCTCTGCAACAGCGACCAATCAGAACGGCACCAGTTCCCTGTGAGGGAAAGACTCTCATTGGTCTTTATTCGCACAACCTCATTGGTTGTTAATTGTAATTGGGCGTGGCTATATTAGCCCAGGAATGTTTAAAAGAAGCCTAGCTCTCAATGTTAAGTTGTTCTGGTTATGACTTGTTATATGCGCTTGTTCGTTACTTCAATAAAGTTGATCACTTTGGTTGAAATCACTCTCCGGATCTTTGTTAGCGGCAATCTAACATACTGCATAAATTAGTTTGCTCTGGAGCCATCCTTCCTGAGCTAAGACAGAAATGTGTAAGCCAGAGGCTAAAAACCTGTGAGCTAGCTCAAACTAACTCAGCTTAGAGGGAACACTGCGATGCCACTCTCCTCATACTATTTTCTAATTAAGTCCCCTGTTCTTAGGGGATCTAACAGAAACTTATAAATTCACTGCACCTTAGTTACATCTCCTTGTATCCCAGTGGTTCTCAAACTGTTTGAAGTCAGACCCACTTGCAAAGTAACTCCTCCCTACTTTCCCCCTCACTGAAATTAAGTACAGGAATCTCACATCAGTTAACACACTGAACTATTTTCATGGCCATTCTGCCAAATTTGCAACTAATCTTCCCAAAGTCTTCTCTCCCAGCTCACCCTTGCTCCTCCTCTCTCCTGGGACTCGTGAGGGGCCGTGGCTGTCTGGTGGAGCATCTGTCAATCAATCAATCAATCTAATTTATTGCGGCAGGAGCCAGTAAAACAGTACAATTCTGATATAAAAGGGATTAAAACAGTAATAACATGGGAATAATATAAAAACATTAACAGGAGAGAGTTAATAACATTAGTAAAGTCGTGTTAATAAGAGAATCATACAATTTTTTCAGCTAAAATAAGTTTACATTTCCTAATAGTGTTGCCAGAGGTGCTGCCTTTTACTCTGGGGTAGCCCCAATAGCAGGGGCACCCCACTTCTAACCTGATCCAGAGACCCACAAAACCCAGGCCAAGGAAGGCACTCTTGGTTCTGAAACACAGAGCTAGCCACAGCTCTGAAAAAGGGGTCTCCATTTTCAGGTGACAGGCAACCTCAGAGCAAGCCTCCAGTCTTCCCCCTCCACCCAGCAGGGATTATGTTTATGGAATAACAATGAGTTCTAGCAAGTAAAGTATCTACATTTCTAAAGTCTATTTAATTCTTTGTCTGACTATTTGTCTTTTCTACTCTGTCCCTCAAGATACCGGGATAAACCAATCAAGCATTCAAATTATTAACAATCCTTCCTGACACTAATCAGGGACGTCTCCCACCTTTTGTTTACCCTGGCCAGGACCATTAATGGTCAGATAATCCATTCAACTAGCCACCCAGCACCTGGCTTCTATTAAATCCAGACCCTGCCTCTCTGAAAGCTCATTGGTCACATCTAGGCCTTGCCCATCCTGATGCCACATACCCCTGGGACTCATCATTGGTCCAGGAAACCTATTGTTCTCACCTGAGACCAGCCCCCAGGACTGGCCATTGGCCTGCATTGTCTTCCATAGGGTATATCCCAGAGTAAACATGGCTTCAGACCGTGTGTTTTCTGCCATAATCCAAAATGGCAGTCCACCCCTAAGCGCTCTGAGTTTAGGCCACAATCCATGGACCTCTGCACATCTGGACCAGGTTGTATAACCCCTCTATAAACTATCAATCACCTCTGCTTCCTTATAGTTCTATATTGTGTGTGTGAGTGTTTGAATATTGTTTGTGTGCTTGAGAATGTTTAGAAAAGAAATCATTATTTTAGCCACCCAGTTTTCTGTGTCTTTTCCTGGGTTCTTGGGAATTCTAACTCTGGTATACACAGGTCAGATCCTATAGATAAGCTGATTGCATATTAATAATTATAATTCCCCATCTTTATTAAATAATAGAGCAATTTGGCTAACAATAGCTAAGCAACAAAATTTTGCCACAGTGTAAGTCACTGAGCTCTGAACATCTTCTAAGAGGAATTTACGAAGGACTTCTGGCCTAAAGTCAAGATAAGCCTGCAAAGGGAGTGGAGCATTTGGTTTGCATGCAGAAGGCCCTATTGACATGTATGTCTAGGTTGTGATAAGGTAGAAAGCTGTTACTGAGTGTAGATCAGAATGATCTAGTGTATAAGTCATGGCTGTCATGCTGAGTGGTTAATGATCTTACATCCAGGTGTTAAACTACCAGGTGCTACTCTTTGTCCTAGTTAAGAGTAGGTGATTAGTCTGCCCTGTTAGTGATTGGATGGGATCTGTATATAGACTGTAAGCTTGATAAACTGGGTTGGGAGACTTGGATCTCTCCAACTGAGGTATGTTATGCTGTGTAACAGTCTGTATATTCTCTGTGTAAATATTCACCATTATCGCACTATAAACTTTCTGCACTTTCACTGCCAGTCGGTCTCCCGGCTTCCTTATTTACTACACCAGGTTCAATTCCCAGTATCTCCAGTAGTAGGCAGTGAAACATTTTGACCTGAGACACTGGAGACCTGCTGCCAGATTACTCAAGATGGGTAGCTGTGTTAGTCCAACTATAGCAGCAGGAAAAGAGCAAGAGTCCAGGAGCACCTTAAAGACTAACAAAATTTGTGGCAGGGTAGGAGCATTTGTGAGTCACACTGCTCACTTTTTCCGATACAGCTAGGAGTTACTATTTTATCATGAGTGCGATACCTGAGTTGTCAGACAAAAGGATGAGAATCTGCTGCATGTATCTGAAAGTGCATCTGAAGAAGTGAGCGGTGGTTCACGAAAGCGCATATCCTACCACAAATTTTGTTCGTCTTTAAGGTGCTCCTGGACTCTTACTTTTTTCTACTGCCAAATAACCGACACTGATAGATCACTGTTCTGCTCGGAGCACCTGCTTTGCATGTAGACAGTCCCAGCATTAATCCCCGTTTTCTCCAGTTCCAAGGAAAAGGTAGCAAATACTGTGAAAGACCTCAACCTGAGACTGTGCTGCTGGCCAGAGCTGAAAATACTGACCTTGGTAGACCAACTGTCCAACCAGTATAAAGTTGCCTTGTGTGACTCATCAGTAAGAGAGAGTCTTGGCCAGGGCTTTTTTTGTAGAAAAAGTCCAGCAGGAACTCAGTAGCATAATAGGCCGCACCCAGCAGCAGAAACTCATTTGCATATTAGGCCACACCCCTGACTGCACTGCTCATTAGCATATTAGGCCGCATTCCCATGTTACCAGAAGTGTGGTCATCCAGCCACACCCACCTTTTGCTTCTTATTCTGTTTAACTTGTTTGTTGTCAAAACCCAGGGCTTTTTTGGTTGCAGGAACTCCTTTGCATGTTAGGCCACACACCCCTAATGTAGCCAATTCTAATGAGTTCCTGCTGTTGGGTGTGGCCTATTATGCTAATGAGTTCCTGCTGGGCGTGGCCAACTTGGGAGCCAGCCGGAACTCTGTTCCTGTGCGTTCCTGCCCCAAAATAGCCCTGGTCTTGGCTCACATCTGGGTCCCAACCCACAGCTTGAGAACACTGGCCATAAACCACAGGGGTCCTTGTCAGTCCTCCAAAAGCGTGGCAGATGTTTGCTAAAGCCAAGTTCCCTTCACAAGCCTCATAGCAGCTTCTATTTCTGCTCTGAGAGCTAACAGAACAAGTATAGATTGTCTTATCTGCTTGGCCATATGCTGGTATTCAGTACTTTGCTGTGATACGATGAATATCAGCCATTATCACTACACACACCAAGATCACCTTGTGGTGCCTTTATGATATCTCCATTATGTTAAGAAAATTATAATTTGTGAATGCAAATAGCTCTGGAGAAGATGTTAATGGTTTTTAAGGTTGCTCTTGAGGACTGCGAAAAACTCCACCGTGGTACAAACAGAAGTGAAAACAGCCAACATATTGGTTTATTTTGTGTACTTCTAGACTGCCTTTCCACTCGAAGGTCTTCAAGAACCTTAAGGTTAACAGAAGGCTCCTTAGAGCAGAACAAGTATTCCATTTCACAAAGCTATTTCAGAGGAGAGACAATTCGATAACACGGCAGATGTGTGTTTAAGGTATGATCATTTAAGCTGGCGTGCACTGTACTTTGTTCAGCTCTTTCAAAGAGAACCGTCATCCCATTGATGACAAATGGTAATAGCAAAGCAACTGTATTTCTGTACAGTCCCGTCAACCCAACTAATTCATAAGAATGAGGTATGAGTAATCTGAAATATAGTGAATGGTTGCAGAGACTGGCTGTGTTGGGTGTGTAAAATGGAAAAGGCACGTTAAGCAGGGCGGATGAACGGGGAGAATCCCAGGAATTGTATTTACCACAGTCTGGTGGAGGACATAGGGCTACACCGCTGAAAATAAATTATGGGCCGCTGCTATGCTTTTCGGTCTGTAATGAAAGAGGTTTCCCTATATTGGATCCTCAATGAACCCAGTATTCCAACACTGCAATCCTAAGTGTAAATCTTTTTAGGATTTCCCTGCCATTTCCCTGTCTGCTGGGTCTTTCACTCAGCCAGGAAATGAGACTTTCACAGTAAAAAGAAAAACGCAGATGAAAGAAATTACGCAACAACTTACCCCAGCGGCAGTTAATAAATCAGAAAATTTTGTTGATAAGGATGACACTTCGTTGCACATGGCACTTGTCAAGCTGTTCAAGAAAGAATGGGAACACCATTAAAATACTTATTTGCCCATCCTTACTAGCAGATGGCTGAATATTTTTACTTGTGTGCACATTTCACTAAAACTTAGATAAATACAGATTATCTGCTACTCTTTTAATCAACATGGACCATGTACTGCATTTTTATAAGTATCAAGGGCATGTAAAAGAACACAAGTAATCCATGACTGCTATGGAAATGAGTGGCACAGAAACACAAAAAAGTCACCTTTGCGGCAAAAGAAATGCGACACGGGGTCCAATTTAACTGAGAATTTCTGCATAAGCCTCACTGAAATGGAAGGCAGTTTGCACAGAAGTACATGTCGAACTCTGGGCATGTTCATAACTGCAGACATAGAGTGGGCTTATACAGGGGTCATTTCGTAGAAAAAGAGGTGTGGGAGCTCATTAGCATAACTCATTAGCATAACTTATTTGCATATGCCACACCCCCTGGCATCACCGGAAGTGTGTCAGAAGGCAACACCCACCGCTCAGGCTCCACTGGACTGTTTTGGATTGCTAGCTATTGGGGGGGAGGGGGGGAGAACGTGCAGATCTGCCCTCAGAGGAGGGAGAGCTTGTACCTGAATAAAACTTGGTCTTAAAGGTGCCACTGGACTCTTTTGGACTGGGGGGGGGGGCTTTTCAGCTAACCTGGCTGCTTCTTGCTCTGACTGAGGCCTGCTGGGAGCAGGGGGCGGGGCTTGTCGCATGTGCCCGCCCCCTGGGCTCTTTACTGCTGGAGCTCCGTTCCCGTGCACTCCTGCAGGAAATGACCCCTGGGCTTACAGATCTTGGGAAGGGTAGAGAGGGGCTGGGGGATCCTGAAGAAAATCTTTAGCATCTCGGTTGAAATACAGTTCTTTGCATGCATCAGGAGGCAAAACTGATGTACGTTTGTAGTACAGACAGGGCCTAGGACAGGTTTGTGATTCAAAGACCTGTTGTTCTAACGTGGGAGGGAGGGTCAGATGACCGCTTGCTCCCTAGCAGTCACCCCCCCCGTTCTTCCTTCAAAGGGAAGGGGTGGGGGAGAAGGCACCTTGGACCACTGTCCTCTCTGGGGCTCATCCTCTGAGCTCAGGAGAAAGAGAATGGTACATCTTCGTTGGCCTGTCCCCTCCGAATCTTAAAGACAGTTTCACTGGCTTTGCACTCCCTTGTGGCTCTTCACTGTCTCATGAGGAGAATCACCCCTGCAGGAGACCGGGAGTGGCCATCACAGCCCCTGCCCTGGGCCGGCATAGGATGAGCCAGCTTGGTGTAGTGGTTAGGTGTGTGGACTCTAATCTGGGCGAACCGAGTTTGATTCCCCACTCCTCCACTTGCACCTGCTGGATGACCTTGGGCAAGCCATAGTTCTGATAACAGCTGTTCTTGAAAAAAGAGCAGTTGCTGTTCGAGCTCTCTCAGCCCCACCTACCTCACAGGGTGTCTGATGTGGGGAGGGGAAGGGAAAGGAGTTTGTAAGCCGCTCTGAGACACCTTTGGGTAGTGAAGGGCGGGGTATAAATCCAATCTCTTCTCTTCTTCTCTCCCCCCACCTCCTGCCGCCAAACAGTCAGGCAACCCCTGTGCCACTGATCAGCCAGGGAAGTCCTAAAGGGGCCAGTTTTCCACCAGCCAACCACAGGTGTCTCCCTCACCCCGCAGCAGCTACCAGGCGAGGGCAGAGCCCCACACTCAGACATGCCATTATAAAAATGCTTAAGATGGAATAAGTGAAGGGCGATACAAGCAGGGGTCATTTCCTGCAGGAGCGCACAGGAGCGGAGCTCCGGCAGTAAAAAGCCCAGGGGGCGGGCACATGCAACAAGCCCCACCCCCCTGCTCCCAGCAGCCCTCAGTCAGAGCAAGAAGCAGCCAGGTAAGCTGCAGAGGGCCCCAGCCCCAAACAGTCCAGTGGCACCTTTAAGACCAGGTTTTATTCAGGTACAAGCTCTCCCTCCTCTGCGAGGACAGATCTGCACGTTCCCCTCCCCCAATAGCTAGCAATCCAGAACAGTCCAGTGGAGCCTAAGCGGTGGGTGTTGCCTTCTGACACACTTCCGGTGATGTCAGGGGTGGCGGCGGCATATGCTAATGAGTTATGCTAATGAGTTATGCTAATGAGTTATGCTAATGAGCTCCTGCACCTCTTTTTCTACGAAATGACCCCTGGATACAAGCAGACACAATAACAGTGCAGGTGTTCCAGAGAAAGGCTCAGGTTGTCAAGCGGCTGCTGCAACTGACCTTCCCGAGGGAAGAGTTTACACAGCCGCTTACACAAGGACGGCAAAGAATGAGAACAGAATTATACGCACTCTGTTAGGACTTTTGCCTGATCCAGCGCAGGCTTTTCCACTTCCTGGCCATGGAGAATTAATTCTGCTAGCTTGTGGAGCTGCTCAATGCAACGGGCTGTCACCTCGGCGAGGCTCTCGATAGACGACGTGTAAATTTCCTAGATTGGAAAGCAAAAGGACAGCGGTAATAAATGCAAGGGCTTAACCAAAATGGAGCACCACAGGAATACCAGTGCAAGGGCATTCTGAAAATATAATTGGTTAAGCATTTGCAGTTTAACTTAATTTAAAACCCGCCAAAACCTCAAAACTCCTTATCAATTCTGGCAGAAGTAGCAAAGGACATTTTTTTCAGGTTAGGCTTTTCTCCCCTCAGAAGCAATATCACCTTTTTGAACAAACAAAAGTGCTTTTACGTTTCACTCCAAAAATTAGCTCAGCAATGAAGTTCTGGAGCCAGCAGGCCCAAAGAGGCAACTCCTACCCTCTTTGAAGATCCCTTTTAATAAAAATATCATGTTCCTTCACATTTCTGAGCCCTTCCGGCCCAATCACTTAAACGTTATGTCGTTCCAGTATCAAACTAGCATCCATTTAGAATTTCCTTCATGGCTCACAGAATCTTTATTACAGTTTCAGGTGGGTAACCATGTAGCAGAACAGAATTCAAGCCCAGTAGCACCCTTGAGAAACTGAACTTTTTTAAAAAATTGGTCGTTAAGGTGCTAATGGAATTGGATTTTAATCTTTATTATAGGCATCTCAGACACTGCCAAGATTTAGTCAGTAATGAACATCTGGGGTATCAGTCTAGGATGAACAGTCATGATTGGTTGTGGTATCCTTCTGGACCACCATTTGGGGCTGGGGCTGGGACTGGGAGGCACTGCTTTGTGGTGGTTTCGGCTCTGCCTGGTAGGCAGGCTTCATGGTCAGCATGTAGTTGCTGCAAGTAGCACTCATTTGAATATGCTTTCCCTGTGGATAGACTTTCCCTAGGGATAGGCTTTCCCCATGTGTCTTCCTCCAGCTTCCCTTTGGTGTAGTGGTTAAGAACAGCAGACTCTAATCTGGAGAACCGGGTTTGATCCCCCCCCACACATGCAGCTGCTGGGTGACCTTGGGTCAGTCACAAGTTCCCTCAGAGCTATTTTTTCAAGAGCAGTTCTCTCAGAGCTCTCTGAGCCCCACCCAAAGAGCGATTACTTCATCCAAAGAGCGATTAACACATGGAATTCACTGCCACAGGAGGTGGTGGCGGCTACAAGCATGGACGGCTTCAAGAGGGAATTAGATAAACATATGGAGCAGAGGTACAGATAGGAACTCTCGGTCTGGAGCAAGTGATGCACTGTATTCTTGGTGCTTGGAGGGGGCAACAGTGGGAGGGCTTCTAGTGTCCTGGCCCCACTGGTGGACCTCCTGATGGCACCTGGTATTTTTGGCCACTGTGTGACACAGAGTGTTGGACTGGATGGGCCATTGGCCTGATCCAACACTGGTGTCTCTTATGTTCTTATATATAGGAACTCTTGGTCTGGGGCAATTTTTGACAGTCACTTCAGCTGGACTAAACTGATTCTGTCCAGTGCTGGTAGTCTAAGTCAGAGTGACTCAGCACTGATAGCTGATTGGTGGAGGATGTGTATATAAGTGATCATGTACTCTACAGTTTTTTCCTCTGCTTATGGATGTGTGTATGGCGAAGCACTTTGTCAGTGCGTATCAGCATCTTCTCTCTTCTTGTGTAAATAAACTTGTATATAACTTTTACACAAGGAGCTGCGGTGGCTCAAGTGCTTAAGACTGCAGGCTGTGGAAGGTCGGTAGTTCAGCAGTTCGAGACCCGGGTGCCGCATGACGGAGTGAGCTCCCGTCTCTAGCTCCAGCTCCTGCCAACCTAGCAGTTCGAAAGCAAGAAATTGCAAGTTGATAAATAGGGACCACTTCGGTGGGAAGGTAACAGCGTTCCGTGCGCCTTGGTGTTTAGTCATGCCGGCCACATGACCACGGAAACTTCTTCGGACAGCGCTGGCTCTTCGGCTTTGAAACGGAGATGAGCACCGCAACCCTACAGTCGGATTCGACTGGCTTTCGAGCAGGGGAACCTTTACCTTTACTTTAACTTTTACACAAGGCTGTGTGGACAGTTGCCTCTTTGGATTATTACTCACTACCCCAGAATTCACGGCACGCTACGCCAACATTCATATGCCGGGAGCAGCTAAAGCTCAGCTCCTTAACCTCTGGAGTCCTGCAAGGTTCTGTTTTGCCCCCCCCCGTGCTTTTCAATGTCTACGTGGAACCACTGGGTGAAGTCATCTGGTGGTGTGGCCTGGATTGTCACCAGTATATGGATGCTTTGTATTTCTAATGGTTGTTTATATATTTGTGTGTGTGCATTTAAAGTTGGTTTTAATGTTTTCTATCTGTTCACCGCCTTGAAGGCCTTAATTGGGTCAAAAGTTGGGGAAAATGTTTTAAATAAATAACCCGACTATAGTCATTCTGCAAGAAGGTGCTGCATTTGAATAGCAGCACAAGACTCCATATGAAGAAGAAGAGAAGAGATTGGATTTATACCCGGCCCTTCTCTACCCAAAGCTGTCTCTGAGCGGCTTACAAACTCCTTCCCCTTCCCCTCCCCACAACAGACACCCTGTGAGGTGGGTGGGGCTGAGAGAGCTCTTGACAGAAACTGCTCTTTTTCAAGAACAGCTCTTGTCAGAACTATGGCTTGCCCAAGGTCATCCAGCCAGGTGCGAGTGGAGGAGTGGGGAATCAAACCCGGTTCTCCCAGATTAGAGTCCGCACACTTAACCACTACACCAAACTGGCTCTACATGAACATTATGAAGCTACATTCTGCTCAATCAGACCACTGGGCCACCTAGATCAATCTTCTCTACTCTGACAGGCAGCGGTCCTCAGGCACAAAGAGGTCTTTCTTGGGACTTACTACCTTTTATAAAGGGAGATATCAGGGGCTGTCATGTGGATTCCCCACCTGTAATGCCATGTATATACGAATGCACATTCCCACCAATAGTGTGCAGTGCAAATAGTGATGTGCATCTAAAGTCATGCACATCACAATGCAGATGTTTACTGCATACACATCTAAATCTGATCTGTACCTATGGAAAACATGCTGTACATGGATCTCCCTTGTTGGTTTGGGGAAAATGGCTTTGTATTCTTGCAGCTTCCTGACCGGAATCTTTAAGGGACATACTACTTCCACTTCAGAAAAACTGAGGTAATATGTGAAGAACTGATTGAAGGAGAGGGGCTGTGGCTCAGTGGTAGAGCACCTGCTTGGCAAGCAGAAGGTCCCCAGGTTCAATCCCTGGCATCTCCAGCTTAAAGAATGAGGTATTAGGTTATATGAAAGACCTCTGGCAGCTGCTGCCAGTCTGAGAAAGCAATTCTGACCTTGATGGACTGATTCACTATAAGGCAGCTTTAGGTATCAAATATGAACTCATGCACCAGGGTGGCAACAATGGATAGTGATCACTTACAAATAACCAAACGCTTTGCCAACACGCATAAATATTATTTAACTGACTTACGTGAGTAATGAAATAATATACATGCAATAGCAAAATATTGTGAAAGGGATTCAAACAGAATTTCAGTCATTTCTCACCTCTATTGTTTTCATTTTTTCCCCTTCTCTGTTTTCAGATTCTTCTGTTTGAGGCTCTTCTTCACTTTCTTTTTCTCCTTCCTCTTTAGTCTTCTCTTCTTGATGCTCCTGAATTTCTGTAGAGGTGAGGAGACTGGCTTCTTCCAAGCAATTATAAGCTTTCTTTCTAGCCTGCAAGACAACCACAAGGAATGGCATAAAGAATTACGTGTTCCTTCCAGATCAAATAGATTAGAACTGTGTACTTGGAGCCCCTCCTCCCAAACCTTCACTGTATTTTTTCCACATTCTGGATAGTAAATCGGATCAAAAAGTATATTCCTGTACATAGGACCAATTTTACATTTTGTGCAAGTGCGTGGCATGCAAAAAGTGAAACTAAGATCCAAAGTTAAAATGTGAGTCCAGTGGTACTTTAGAGGTGAACAGAATTTATTCCAGCATCAGCTTTCATAAGTCAGGGCTCATTTCGACAAATACGTCTGTGTTTTGCTTTTCCAGCTCTTCTTTATCAAGATTCTCTCAACTTTTGCATCGAGCTATGAAATAAAGTCACCCACCTTGTTTAGCTTGTCAGGAGTGGCTGCAATATGCAGCTCAAACAGCAGTTCTGTAAGTTTAGTCACAAACTCATCTCCCATGTCTTCTGCTGCAAATAAATACAATAATTATATGAATAAAGAATTGATAACAGTACCAGTAGCACAACTGATCACAGAACTCCAGAGACTATCCCATCCCTTCCTCCGTAGTGAAATACAAACTGCAGTCCCATTTTAACATTTTATTACCATCATTATGATGAAATGCAGGGCTCTTTTGGTAGAAAAAGCCCAGCAGGAACTCATTAGCATATTAGGCCACACCCCTGACAGCAAAGCTCATTAGCATATAAGGCCCCACCCCCATGTTACCAGAAGTGTGGTTATCCAGCCACACCCACCTTTTGCTTGTTATTCTGTTTACCTTGTTTGTTGTCAAAACCCAGGGCTTTTTTGTAGCAGGAACTCCTTTGCATGTTAGGCCACACACCCCTAATGTAGCCAATCCTAATGAGTTTCTCCTGTTGGGTGTGGCCTATTATGCTAATGGGTTCCTGCTGGCCCTGGTCAACTTGGGAGCCAGCCGGAACTCCGTTCCTGTGCGTTCCTGCCCCAAAATAGCCCTGATGATATGCAGTCTCCTGGGATGCCATTACCCTCTGAGATGGGTGTTTTCTAGGTAAGAAGTGCTAAGTCACAATTCTAAATTAAGATCGGGAGGAACAGACAGACAAAACCAAGGCATGCCAGATGTGGTCCGTAAACGAGAATCAATAACTTTGTGACTTCTAAACCTGGTTTATTATTTATTTATTATTTGAATTTGTACCCTCCCCTCCCCGCCAAGGCAGGCTCAGGGTGGTGAACATCATAAAAGCACAATAACAATAAAATCATAGACATCTAAAAACAATCCAACAAACAATTCAATAGCAATTCATTAGTGCTAGCAGTTAACTTATAATATCAAAGATGGCCTCGTACACTCTGTAGGTTCACTTGATATTCAGCTCATTGGTCTTTCTCAGTTTTGGTCGGCGAGCACAGGCTATCAGTAAAAGACCAGGCACCGGGCTTCTGTTGTTATTGAGTTAATGGTATTAATAATCATAGATGGTAATACTGGCCATAGTGGTAGTGGTGGGAGTGGTGGCGGCTCCTAGTTGAAAGCCTGGTGGAAGAGCTCCGTCTTGCAGGTCCTGCGGAACTGTTCCCTATCAAACCTCTTGATTTCAACTTATTCTACTTAAATACCGGTATGCACATGTAAATCCCTTTACTATTTGATATTAAGATGCCAAGTGATTCACACTGCAATCCTATGCAGAAATAGGGTTGCCAAATCGACTTACCTCTGCTGGTGGGGGACTTTGTGCTGGTTCCTGGTGCGCGCGCGCGTGCCGCATGTACGTCACAGGGAAGTGACGTCATGACGCCGGGCACGCTGGGGGCGGGGCACAGCCATTTGAGGGGAAAACTCTGTTTTCCCCTCAAATGGCTGTGCCCCGCCCCCAGCGTGCCCGGTGTCATGACGTCACTTCCCTGTGACGTGCACGCGGGGGTGGGGTTTCCCCCGGGGCCTGATTCCGCGGGGGCGGAAATCGGGCCTCCAAAGCGGGGGGAAATCCGCCCCCCGGGGGGATTTGGCAGCCCTATGCAGAAATGAGTAGCTCTGCACGGGACCACACTGTTAGTTGCTTTGAATTAAACGTGTAGATCTCTTTATGCTGTACATGTGATAACAATGCAAAATACCTGTTTTTGTTTCATCATCTTCATTATCTGATTCTTCTGGGAAAAAGATGGCCTTAATAGCAATCAAAGCAGTTTTGGCTGTTTCCAACTCCTCCCCTTCAAGCGATGCCAAATATGACTGTACCTGAAAAAAGAAGTAATGACTATTCTTACTAAACCAAAGTGTGGGTGGTTGTGACCGAACGTACCCAGATAACTACAGGAGTATCATTTCTGAGAAAAATTAGGCATACAGAAACTGTATAACTTTCTTCTCCAAGACTATTTACAGGATGAATCAGTGAAAGTCCCAATGGTATCCTGGATGCAAGACTTTGGATATAACATTGATATTGATGAATGGTCCAAAATCTGGAAAGTAATAAAATATACACGAGCAATACCATATAAGAAAAATATATATAAAATGTTTTTTAGGTGGCACTGGTCACCAGGTAAAACTTGCTGGAAATGTAAACATAGCATTGGCACCTTCTACCATATGTGGTGGAGGTGTAACATAACACAAATTTACTGGCATAAGATACAAAAATTTATATCTGAAATCATAGAGATAGAACTACCATATAGACCAGAAATATTTCTGTTAAATATGTTGCCAGATTAGTATTAAAAAAACAGATCAATATATATTAACATATATGTGAACATCAGCTCGTATTATATTTGCTAAATATTGGAAACAGGGAAAAATACCCTCGAGAGATGAATGGATATATAGAATGTTGACTATTGCAGAGATGGATAAATTAACACTAATTTTGCAAGGTAAAGATGACAACATATTTAAAGAAATATGGAAAAAAATTATTTGTGGTTAGACAACAAATGTTAACATAGACTCATGATATGGTAATTACTGTAATACAATCAATATATTGTGTTTTGTATAATGTAAAAACCTTATAAATAAAATGTTTAAAAAAAAGAAAAAAAGAAAAATTAGGCAAGTCTGCCACCATTTTAATCTAGAGCTGATTGCAGTCCAGTTGTAAGATGTTATCATCACGTTAATTGTGGTGCATTTATGTCAATGTAAATATTTCATTTTGCCACAACCTGCTTTCCTCTGAAGAGCTTAGAGTGGCATATCTATGATTCCCAACCAGCTGTCTTTACCTTCAGCAGCAGGCATGTTATTTCCTTCCAGCTATACTCTGGATCTGATCTGGATTTGAAAGCTAAGCAGGGTTGGCCCTGGTTTGTACTTGGATGGGAGACCACCAAGGAAGTCCAGGGTTGCTACGCGGAGGCAGGCAATGGCAAACCATATCTGAACATCTCTTGCCTTGAAAACGCTTTCCACCATCACAATCTCTGGATCTGAATCGGCTGAAAAGCCTTTTACGATGGTGCAGAGATCAACTATTCTTCTGTTACATGTCTGTTCATTTCTGTGCTTAGGAACAGTGTTATGCTCTACGGAATACCATTTACTGCATAACACATCATATTTAATACTTCTGCTTTGTTCAGATTTTTGCAATTTCAGTCCTATTATATTGCTTATCAGACATTTCATCCCACTGATTGCACTGATCTACGCTGCGTAATCCACCTCGAGTCTCTGTGAGAAAGGCAAACTATAAATAACATAAAATTAAATGGCAGCAACCACATCATGTATGGCTGCGAGAGTTGGACTATAAGGAAGGCCGAGCGCCGAAGAATAGATTCTTTTGAACTATGGTGCTGGAGAAGACTCTTGAGAGTCCCTTGGACTGCAAGAAGATCAAACCAGTTAATCCTAAAAGAAATCAACCCTGACTGTTCCCTGGAAGGCCAGATAATGAAACTGAAGCTCAAATACTTTGACCACCAAATGAGAAGGGAGCACTCCCTGAAGAAGACCCTGATGCTGGGAAAGACTGAAGGTCAAAGAAGACGGGGACGGCAAAGGATGAGATGGTTAGACAGTGTCACAGATGCAACGAACATGAAATTGAGCAAACTTCAGAGGATGGCGGAAGACAGGAGGGCCTGGCGAGATCTTGTCCATGGGGTCGCGAAGAGGCGGACTCGACTGTGCGACTGAACAACAACCACATCCAACCGTGCCTGCTTCATCCATACCAAATGTCAATGCAACATTCAGGGTCTGACTGCAGCGCCGTCCTGCCATGAATATGGCACCAGTGTTCCCTCTGAGTTAGTGTGAACTAGCTCACAGTTTTTTAGCCTCTGGCTCACACATTTTTGTGATGGAGCCAGGAAGGATGGCTCCAGAGCAAACTAATATATGCAGTAGCTAAATCGCTCGCTCACAACTTTAATGCCAGTAGCTCACAAAGTTGAATTCTTGCTCACAAGTCTCCACAGGTTAGAGGAAGCATTGTATGGCACCCACTAGAATCTATAGAATCTATAGAGGAGCTGCGGTGGCTCAAGTGGTTAAGACCCTGGACTGCAGGCTGTGGAAGGTCGGTAGTTCAGACCCAGGTGCCGCATGACGGAGTGATCTCCCGTCTCTAGTTCCAGCTCCTGCCAACCTAGCAGTTTGAAAGCAAGAAATTGCAAGTAGATAAATAGGTACCACTTCGGTGGGAAGGTAACAGCGTTCCGTGCGCCTTGGTGTTTATTCATGCCGGCCACATGACCACGGAAACGTCTTCGGACAGCGCTGGCTCTTCGACTTTGAAACGGAGATGAGCACCGCAACCCTAGAGTCGGATTCGACTGGCTTTCGAGCAAGGGAACCTTTACCTTTACCTTTAGAATCTATAGGTTTGTAGGTTTGAACCTGAATTCTGCAATTTAGTTAAGGCAGAGTTCTCAGATCTGAATTCAATTAATACTGCTGGGTTCATCTGGATCCAGTTGCCTCGGAATGTGCCTACATTTAGTTATTTTTCTGAAATGTGATTTTTTTAAAAAAAAATTAAAGTCACTGCTTAATAAATACAAACCTTTATGCCTAGTTTGGAGTGACTAAAACATCTGCAGCCTTGGAAAACATGATAGGAAAAGGGTGCCGGTTTTCTTTGCTGAGCCTTGAACCAGTTTCATATCCAACCTGGAGCAAGTTTTTTTTTGGGGGGGAGGGGGAGGGCAGTCACACGACGTCATTCTGTAATCGTCCGCTTTCCGCTTTGCTTTAATGCAATCTGTCCCAAACTTGGTTGGATATTATCTTTATGGAAAGACTTTCCTGCCAAGCACTTTTGCATGCCACATAGGTGGGAAGCGGTGTTCCCTCTAAGATGCGTTAGTGGGAGCCAGCTCACAGATTTTTAGCCTCCAGCTCCCACATTTTTGTCTGCGCTCAGGAAGGATGGGGCTCCAGAGCAAACTAATTGATGCAGCGGCCAAATCGCTCATTCGCAACTTTAATGCTGGTAGCTCACAAAGTGGAATTTTTGCTCACAGGACTCCACAGCTTAGAGGGAGCATTGGGTGGGAAGGTATTTTTGAGTGCCCTGCCCACACTGGAACCAGTGTTCCCTCTAAGCTGAGTTAGTATGAGCTGGCTCACAGTTTTTTAGCCTCCAGCTCACACATTTTTGTCTTAGCTCAGGAAGGATGGCTCCAGAGCAAACTAATTTATGCAGCAGCCAAATCGCTCGCTCACAACTTTAATGCCAGTAGCTCACAAGATAGAATTCTTGCTCACAAGACTCCACAGCTTAGAGGGAACACTGACTGGGACCATTTTCCTTGCCTCAGCCTCTTGCAGCTGCTATTCCCCCCCCATACCAGTGGAGGGCTTTTTTAAAAAAATGGTGATGGTTATTGCTAGATCAAGACAGTGCAATAACGTTTGAACAATCTATTGCTATGATCTACTAGCTGCTCTGCATTTCAAGTTTTCATTAAAAAAAGAAGTAAGCAAATGGGAATGGTGCACGCTCAGGATGAGGTCAAGGGTACCCCCACCCAAGAGCTGTTTTACCTGGAAGCAGGGGTCATTTCGTAGAAAAAGAGGTGCAGGAGCTCATTAGCATAACTCATTTGCATATGCCACACCCCCTGACATCACCAGAAGTGTGTCAGAAAGCAACAGCCACCGCTCAGGCGCCACTGGACTGTTGTGGATTCCTAGCTATTGGGGGGGGGGAACGTGCAGATCTGTCCTCGCAGAGGAGGGAGAGCTTGTACCTGAATAAAACTTGGTCTTAAAGGTGCCGCTGGACTGTTTTGGACCAGGGGGCCGGGGGAGGGGGGCTCTGCAGCTTACCTGGCTGCTTTTTGCTCTGACTGAGGGCTGCTGGGAGTAGGGGGTGGGGCTTGTTGCATGGGCCCGCCCCCTGGGCTCTTTACTGCCGGAGCTCCGCTCCTGTGCGCTCCTGCAGGAAATGACCCCTGCCTGGAAGTGCCTTGTGGAAAACCATAACGCACAAACACCAGTGTGTTTGTTAGTAAACAGACTTGGAGGACAGGGCTGATAGTGTATGTTCTTTCTTTCTTTCTTCATCTCTTTCAGACTGCCTGATGGGCTGAGGGATATTGAGAGGGGGGAGACGGTTTATCTTGCTTAATACCAGCAGGACAAATGAACAGCCTGCAGTGTTTTAGAAGGTGGTTAGGAAAAGGGTGGGTGAGCCAGTGGAGACTGGATTGCATGTGTGTGGTTGGAGGGCGGGGTATTTCATTGGTGGTGGTGGGAAGTGGCGTTAAGTCACAGCTGACCTATGTCAACCTTGTAGGGTTTTCAAGGCAAGAGAAGTTGAGAAGGGGTTTGCCAGTTGCCTGCCTCCACATCATGACCCCGGTATTCCTTGGAGGTCCCCCATCCAAATACTAGCCACGGCCGACCCTGCTTAGCTTTCGAGATCTGAGAAGATCGAGCTAGCATGAGCTATTTCATTGGGAAGTTTTAATTTTGTTTTAAAAAAGGAATCTGCTCACAGAAGGAATAAGCAGGGTGAGAAGGAGTTGAAGGCAGGGCTTTTTTTGTAGAAAAAGCCCAGCAGGAACTCATTAGCATAATAGGCCACACCCAACAGCAGATACTCATTAGCATATTAGGCCACACCCCATGCCTTCCCTTGGCTTGCCCAGGCCCCCCGCTGCTGCGGGGAGCCCGGGCTAGCCAGCCCTTGGACAGGCCAGGGAAGTCACGGGGAGGCATTTAAATGCCTCCCCGATCCTTCCAGGCCCCCCGCCTCAGAGTCACGGGGGGGGGGTCGCTCTCCGGGCCTTCCCTCTGTAGCCACGCACACAGAGGTTTTGGCTGTACCGGGCGTGGCCAGCTCTGAAGCCAGCCAGAACTCCGTTCCTGTGCGTTCCTGCCCCAAAATAGCCCTGAATATGGGTATCAGCTCCCTTACACTGGTTGGTGTGGGACACAGTGGATACATTTCCCAATACTGTTAAGTCTGCAGGCCAGGGCAGAATACGAAATCAAATAAAATAAATACATTAAAAACCTTGGCCCCTCTGTGGTATAAGGGAGGTTCCCAGAGGCAGGATTTCAACCTTTACGGGGAGCAGTTCTTGAAAAATATGTTCCAGCGACCATTCTCGTTACCTTGATTTACGCAGTCTATACCGTACCTTGGCTTCACTTTCATTAGACAGAATTTCCAGGGCTTCCAGATGAGACAGACCTTGGAACTCATCAAAAAGCAGCCCGTAGTGCGCTGTCCGTTCAAATGTGACTTGCTGGGCCAGTCTCTGCTTCTCCTTCTCTTTCGCTTCCCGCAAAAGCTGCGGAGACATAGATCACGGCTGCTGGTTTATTGGCTGCACAGCAGATTTTATAACCATCAGACTCCGGCTCCTCTAGGCAATGATAATAAAACTGGGGAGGGTAGCTCATACTGACGCAGGTGAAAAAGGCTCCATCGTTTTTTGCCAAAACATTTCCAGTAACACATTTTAAGCTGGGTTCCCTGTATAGTTTTCCTCCATAGTGGTGGTGACTATATATAAGCAGGCTTGTTTGTAAATCTGCTTTTACTGTCAAAGGCAACACTAGGCATAGATCACAAATTCAAACGTCTATTTACAAGGAGAGAGAAACATAAAAAAGCACTGAATGAATGCATGAGAATAAGTGTACACATTTTCACTTTGTCCCATTAATTTCAACGAGGTTTTGGGAAGAGACTGGAGAGACAGTTTGGTGTAGTGGTTAGGAGCGCGGACTCTAATCTGGGAGAACGGGGTTTCATTCCCCACTCCACCACATGCAGCTGCTGGCGTGACCTTGGGTTAGTGATAAGTTCTCTCAGAGCTGTTCTCTCACAAGCAGGTCTCTCAGAGCTCTCTCAGCCCCACCTACCTCACAGGGTGTCTGCTGTGGGGAGGGGAAGGGATTGTAGGCTGCTCTGAGACTCCTTCGGGTAGTGAAGGGTGGGGTAGAAATTTAATCTTTTCCTCTTCTTCCTTGGAAGAATGTCCTCCTTGAAAATATGGATTTTGAACCTCAGTTTTAACTACAGGCACACCATCATACCATGGCCTTTATGGTATGAAGCCATGTTTGGTGGACGCATTTTCACTTTGCCCCATTCATTTCAATGAGGTTTTGGGAAGAGACTGGAGAGCCAGTTTAGTGTAGTGGTTAAGTGCGCGGACTCTAATCTGGGAGAACCGGGTTTGATCCCCCACTCCTCCACTTGCACCTGCTGGATGACCTCGGGCAAGCCATAGTTCTGACAAGAGGTGTCCTTGAAAAAGAGCAGTTTCTGTCAGAGCTCTCTCAGCCCCACCCACCTCACAGGTTGTCTGTGGTGGGGAGGGGAAGGGAAAGGAGTTTGTAAGCCGCTCTGAGAAACCTTTGGGTAGTGAAGGGCGGGGTATAAATCCAATCTCTTCTCTTCTTCTTGGTTGTGAAGGTGAATCCCCTCCTTCCACTACAGAGCTTTTTCTACACCCCTCATGCTCTTCGTGCTGGTCCCCCAGGAGCCGTGTTCTGGGGCAGGGGCATTTTGGCTATAGTGGGAAGGGGAAGCAAAAGGGGAGCTTCAGAAATCCTTCTGTCAGGGGACGTTTGGTGGGACCCAAGCCAAGCACTCCTGTCTCTGCTTGCTGACTCTTTAATTTGGAACAAAGTATAGCTGGAACACAGCAAATGGAGAACTGGATTGTTTCATGTATTTCTGCTTTTTGCTGTAAAACTGCACATTATTCCAAGTTCCTCCACAGAGATTTACTTTACTCCTTTTTGAAAGGTCGGCCTGCTTCAAAAGGTTCATTCTGGAGAGCGGTATCTCCACTTTTACCTCAGTGTGCTTCCGTGGGCCCATTCTCAGAATGATTAGTAACTGCACTGTCAGAAAAGGGACTCACTGGGGGGGGGGAAGCTTTCAACGGACATGAAGCTGCCTTATACTGAATCAGAAACAAACAGTACAGCACACAGCAAAAAATAGCAAGGAACAACAAAAAACGACAGTGAGCTTCTTTATGGGCCAGGTCTCCTAAGCCTTGAGAGGTGCGCATTAAAGCTTAGGAGACCTGGCCCATAAAGAAACTGAATAGTATTGTCCTGTAAAGAAATTGGAATGAGACTTCCTGTAGTTGTTCTTTGTTCCAGAGGAAGGACCAGAAATCTGAAACACTGCATAAAAAGGTAACGGTTCCCTTGCTCGAAAGCCAGTCGAGTCCGACTCTAGGGTTGCGTTGCTCATCTCCGTTTCAAAGCCAAAGAGCCAGCGCTGTCCGAAGACGTTTCCGTGGTCATGTGGCCGGCATGAGTTTGTAAGCCGCTCTGAGACTCCAAGTGAAGGGCGGGGTATAAATCCAATCTCTTCTTCTTCTTCTAAACACCAAGGCGCACGGAAGGCTGTTACCTTCCCACCAAAGTGGTACCTATTTATCTCCTGGCAATTTCTTGCTTTCAAACTGCTAGGTTGGCAGGAGCTGGGACTAGAGACGGGAGCTCACTCCGTCATGCGGCACATTCGGGTCTCAAACTGCTGAACTACCGACCTTCCACAGCCTGCAGTTCAGCGCCTTACCACTTGAGCCACCGCAGCTCCATGAAACACTGCATACCACCTAGGAAAAGTGTTGGATATCTACTCTGGACTTTGTTTTTTCCTTCTATGGATCCTGTGGACTTCTGTATCTTCCCATGATGGATTATATGTATAGATTCATTACTGATTACATGTGCATTTCACTTTATTGAAGTCTCCTTTTGGATATACTTTTGTGGGTAATTCAGCTCACAGTTGTTTTTTGTTGCTCCTTGTTATACTGAATCCGAACCTTGGTCCATTGAGGTCTGTATTGTCTACTCAGGACTGGCAATGACTCCCCAGGGTCTCAGGCAGAGGTCTTTCACACCACCTGCCGCTTGGTCCTTTCCAGTGGAGACTGAAGCTGGGACCTTCTGCATGCAAAGCAGAGGCTCTTCCACTGAGCCACAGTCCCTCTTCTTTCCTAATCATGCTTTGTGATATTGTTCTGATAGAGCTGTCGGTGCTGCTTTCCAGATTAAAGAGTTACTTGCTTGTTCAGCAGTTACTGATTTTGTTCTGTGGCAAAAAAGATATTCTGCCTAAAATCAAACCATTTTTACATTGTATTTATGCTAAAAAAAACCCCAACGAACTCAAGTATTTCTGTATTTTGGGTTTCATATTAAGACAGATGATCATCTATGTGGGACCCTGTGGCGCGATCAGCCCTGGTGCCCAAACCCAGAGGTTGTTACCTGCTCTGTTCCCCTGAAAGTTATAAGCCCTCTGCAACAGCCCTGCAGGGTGGACTATCAGACATAGTATAAGAGGGTTAGCTAGTTTATTTTGGGTGGAAGAGATGTGTACAAAGCCTATCACACCGGGAACGGAAAGCTTTGTTGAAATGTTTATTTTTTTACTTCATGGATAATCCTCCTTTCTCCATAGTGGGGACCAGTGTTCCCTCTAAGCTGAGTTAGTGTGAGCTAGCTCACAGTTTTTTAGCCTCTGGTTCACACGTTTTTGTCTTAGCTTGGGAAGGATGGGGCTCCAGAGCAAACGAATGTATGCAGCAGCCAAATCGCTCGCTCACAGCTTTAATGCCAGTCGCTCACAAAGTAGAACATTTGCTCACAAGACTCCACAGCTTAGAGGGAGCATTGATGGGGACCCAAAGTGGCTTACATGTTTCTTCCTCCTCCATTTCTTTCTACAACTACCTTGTGAGGTAGGCTAGGCCAACAGTGTATGCCTGGCTCAGGGTCACCCAGTAAGCTTCCATGGCACAGTGGGGATTCGAGCCTGGGTCTCCCGGACCCTAGTTTGATACTCTGACCACTACACCACACTGGCTCTTTGTAAGCTGCCTTCAAGACATAAATCATGGGAAAGTGGGATATAAATCTTTGAAACAAGTATACATGAATCACGATGGAAAGGATCACAAGTAATTTCCTGGATAAATGATAATTGGGGGAAAAAAAGAACTTTCCTCTTATATGCTCAAACATGGAAAGTTTCAACATTACCTACAATAGAGAAATGGCTGGTGAAGATGACGGAACTTGCTGAGATGGCCAAACTTATTTCTTTGATTAGGGAAAAGACATTATCGAAATTTATTGTTATTTGGAAACCAGACTTTTTTGCACAAAACAGAAAAAAAAATGATCTGATGATTTGTGCCTTTGAAGATTAAGAGGTTAAAAAAAGAGGGGTTACCAGAAAAGGAGAGGTACTTCTTTTTGTAACTTTAGAGTAAGTGTGCATTATGTAAAAATATGTGTATCGTGGGGAAAATCAGAAGTTTTTCCTTTATATTTCTTTATACTCTTTTGTCCTTGTTTTTCCTTTGCTCTTTTTCTTTTTTATTCTGTATCCAAAAATCCTTAATAAAATTTCTGTATAAAAAAAGAAGCCGTCATGATGCGGAAGAGGCCGGGATAAGATAATGTGTACATCACCCACATGCATGAAACGTTCCTTTTGGATAATCCTGTACCCACCTGTGCTAATGCCTAATCACAACAAACTTATTTGACAGGATAAGTGGTCATGTGGTACTTCAGAACTGCTGAAGTCCACCCAAAACTACCATCCTAATCAAGAACAAACTTCTTACTGTATTTGCTTAAAGGACCATCTTCCCACACATGTCCTCCTGCGGTTAACAGCATCCTTCTGGCTGCTGCCTTCTAGTTGTTCTCCTG